TTTCTATTTTTATTTCTATAAACGTAGTACTCTATACAGACGTGATACTAAACGATTCATTATTTTTATACGTTTCATTTTGTGTGTGTGTGTGTTTTTTTTTGATACTTACACATTTCTATCCTCCATTTCATTTTCAACAACCAACCTCTAATTAAACGCACATTATTTTTTATATTTAAAATTGTCGATATTTACGTAGTAAATTGGACGTAACATTAGAGGTATTAATGATTCGTTAATTTTTCTTGGTTCACATTACTCTACTTTCATCGTACATTTAATCACCCCTTTTTCCCCATATTCTCACTTCTCTCACCAATTATACGTACGTTATATGTTTTTTCACTTTTTTTTTTTTTTTTATTTAAATTTCAATAAACCCAGGGGTAAATTGGGCAAGCAACGTGCTTGGACTATTCGTTAATTTTCTTTTTTTCTTTCATCGTTCAAGTTTACATTCAGAGAGTTTCTACATATTCCATCTGCTTTAGTCTCATTTCTAACAACCACACCTGTCCAACACTTAATTACACTCAATTAGGTGCACGTTTATATCGAATAAACATTTTCATGAACGTCTTTCATTACTTTGGCCGAAGAGAAGGCAACCCCTCTTCTTCACCATTCAGTCCCCACCCCCAAACCCCCTTCGCATCACGCGGTGTCGTCTTCCATGGATTTGAAATTTACTAAAACTTTCGCCGTTTCTAGTTGAAGACATTAAAGTGAAGTTTCCTCTGCCACTTCATATTAATTGCCCGTGAGTTTAGACGTCGCGCAACACCTGCGTTCGTACCGCTCGTGAAAAGTGTCTGCAACGACGACGGGTTTCACTCGGTTAATATGAGAAGAAGAAGAAGAAGAAGAAAAAGAAGAAGAAGAAGAAGAAAAAGAAGAAGAAGAAGAAGAAGAAGAAGAGAAAGAGAAAGAGAAAGAGAAAGAGAAAGAGAAAGAGAAAGAGAAAGAAAGAGAGATAGATAGAAAAAGAGAGAGAGAGAGAGAGAGAGAGAGAGAGAGAGAGAGAGAACGTACGAAAAGCATTTCTCGGTGTAACATTAATGAGTTCGGTTAATTATACCGAGGACTGTGCAATTTTATTGCGAGAAGATGGCACGAGCCTGCCTGTTAAATTATTCATGCCGTCCGACCATGGTGGTTAAAGCTCGTGAAATTTGTCTTTCTAGTATACAACTTATACATTTATGTATAGGTATATATATGTGTGTGTGTGTGTAATAAAAAGAAAACTTTTCGAATGGTAGAATTAATTTTACAGTCTAATAATCCATCACAGCGCGTTCACTCGTTCGATTAATGTTGAATTTTACCGGATATCATCCCCGAATGAGATACTTTTATTTTTTCTCTTTCTTTCTACTCTTTTTCTTTTTTTTTCTTCCCCGTCAATTTTAACGTTTTCCCATCAACGACTACTCCTCGTGTGTATATATGTGTAGATAGATACGTAGAATCGTACCAACTGTAAATCGTTTATCTGGGGATGATCGATCTTTCGTTACTCGTAATCGGTCATATCGGTTTTATCTGTCGAGTTTATCTCCTTTCTCTCACTTACACACATGTATATACACACACAAATAGACACGTACACATACATGCGTATTATTTTTCTTTCTCATTCCATTATTTTCTTTAACGTTGTCAACTCACTTGCACACCTAGGACGATGTTGTCAGTCGTCTTAAAAAAAAGGGGAAAGTAAAGTAATAAAAAAGAAAATAAAAATAGAAAGAAAAAAGAAAAGAATGAATTATGAGCGACGGGTACGTTAGTTTCGCTGCGTCAGGGGTAGAAGAGAAAAAAAAATAAAACCGGTTTAAAAAAAAAGTCGAATTCGCGAGATGTGCAAATTTATTCTAATGCTAAGCCCTTGGCTTTGTTTATCCTTTAACACTAACGAGAGCCATCACTTTTAAGCTGTTTCTTTTACGTAAAATTGACGTTCAAAGTAGATGCTGCACTTTGTTTCGTAAAAGACTCTATTACCTCTACCTACGGCCTCGATTTTTCTACGGGTTATTTTTCTTTTTTCTTGCTTTTTATTTCTTTTCTTTTTTATTTNTTTTTTTTTTTTTTTTTTTTTTTTTTTCACGGGGAAAATTCGTTAAAGTTTGTATAGTTTTTTCTTTCTCCTTTTTTTTCGGAGGATTCTTTTTATTTTTACAAATTTCGTCTTATACCGTTGGATTTTTTTTTTTAGCTCGCGGAATTATTCGCATACATTTTAATATTTAATTTGAAAATGATCCGGCACACAATTTTACGGTTCATATCTGTCTCGCGACAAAGAGAAAAAAAGAAAATAGAAAAAGAAAAAAAAGAAGGAAAATCTTGTCCTTTTTTCTTTTTACGTTCCAAGTACGAAAGTAGCGTTTGAAATTTTTATTAGTATAATAAATTCGGGCGTTACAGTCTGGAAAATATATCTACGTAAACGCATAACAACAACTTTAAATTAACGAGCTTCATACGAATTTTGTTGCAATATTAAATAAAACTTATAACTTTTCTCTGTGTGTGCACAACAATCTGTTATGCTTATAATATTTAGAGCTTGTTAATAGAAAATAATATATCTTTAAATAAAAAAAGAATTATGATAAAAGAGAAATTTCGAGTGAGAGAGAGAGAGAGAGAGAGAGAGAGAGAGAGAGAGAGAGAGAGAGAGAGAGAGAAGAATATATAGGATGTGTGGGTCGCGTAGGAACATTAAATATAATTAAAAGACCTTCGGGGCTATTTAAATTATATTAATAATTAGAATAATACAATAGTAATAATAATAATAATAATAATATTAATTACTATTATATAACAATGATTAAAATGACGATGATTGTAATAACGATGAGTATTACATATGGAAGAAAATAGAATGGAACGTAACCTTTCACAGAAATCATTGGTTTCTTTGTTAATCGTAAATGACTTGATATTTTCTTTTGAAATGAAAATAAACGAAGATAAAGGAAAAGAAAAAGAAAAGAAAAGAGGAAGGGAGAAAGAATCATCGAGTCCATTCGGTCGAATGTAATTTCGATCAGTTGGTACGGATCAACACGCGATTCTCACGAATCACGATAGTTCTTCAATCCAGTGAAACGTATGCGCAAGAGAAATCGATAAATTTCAGGCAGATAATATTCAGAAAACTAGAGCGTGTTTGTGATCGCCCATCGCCCCCTGTGTCTTCTACTTTCTGCATGCAACACACTCGGTTATATACCAAGCCGTATTTGAAAGCTCTCCCGTTTGAATCGAGACATTTGTAAAGAATGCAAGAGAGAGAGAGAGGGAGAGGGAAACTCGCCTCGTACGAAACTTTCCGTACTTTTTTGCATGAGATGTAAAGCTAAATGAAAAATATTGATTTTCCGTGGAGAGAAAATTTGCGTTTTCGGTATCTTTTCGAATCTCTAAGAATGCTGCGCTTCTCGAAACGACAGAACACCGTTTTACATTCGCCAGCCACTTTGAAATATCTTCTTCGGTTTCCAAGGGGGATCTTTTTTTTCTTTTTTTTGGTTTTTCTTTTTCCTTCTTTCAGATTTCAAGAATCGCACAATATTTACGAATAGTTTCTTCGCTAGAATTGTCAGTGAACAAAAATATATATATCGTTTATGTATTTCACTGTTTAATGTCTCTTTTTGTAAAAGTTTTTACGTTTTTTCTCGACCTATTATGGAAATTTGTTTTTCTTATCTTTTTATATTTAACGACAAGAAAAAACAACAGACTATTACTATCACGATTATTTATCATCAAAATGTATTCCTTATGTCTGATTAAAATATACCATTACTACTGACAAGATGGCTTAAGCATTAATGCATCTGTCTGACTAAAAGCAGTACATTACTACTGTGATAGCTTGCAGCATAAACGCATCCGTCTGACTAAAAACGTAGCATTATTACTTCGATAATTAAATCTTATATGTATATGTCTGATTAAAAACGTAGTATTACTACTGTGATCGTTTAATCTTATATACGTGTACGTCGGAGTAAAAACGTGGCATTACTACTGAGATCATTTAATCATATATGTATTTGTCTAATTGAAAATATACTATTACAATTTCAGATGTTGGATCATATACATTTATATGATCTCTCTCTCTATCTTTCATTTTCATTAATACATTTACATTTCATTTGATTTTTATTAAAGATGTATTGAGAAATATTGACTTATTAAAATTGTTATTTTCTTAAAAAAAAAAAATTAAGTTTTATCTTTTGAAACGATTAGTAAAATATCGAGAAAGAAAAAAATGAGAAAGAGTTGTCTCTTCTATGGCATCGAACAATATCTTGATTTATGTTCTTAGGACGTTGTATCCCGTCCCATAATGATGTTCCCGCAGCGTTACGATCACAATTTCACCAACCATTATCCTTCGTACGTAATATATCCCTCAAGGTATACCGCTTTATTAAGGACGAAATGTGAAAACGCATTCCCGTGCGTTACGAATTCGTGACTTCACTTATTACCTTCATTTTCATCATATTATCACCTATTTTTATTTTCTCCCTTCATTTTTATTTATCGTCTGATAGACACGTTCTCGTAGAAAGTTTTAATGATTTCAATGTTTTTTATTTGTAAGTATTTTATAGATATCACAATTGATATATTATTATCGAATATTAAATTCAAATAATTTACAAATGATATATATATATATATATATATATATATATTGAAAAGTAATTTGTAATTATTTTCTAAATGATTTTTTTATAATTAAAATTTTATTGTGTATTATTATTCGTAGGTGTCTGAGTCTCATAGATAGCATGATTGATATCCTATCGGTAAAAAAAAAAAAAAGAATTCAAATAATTTGCAAAAGTAATTTGTTATTATTTCCTTTTTATCTTCGAATGATTTCGATTAATTAAAATTTATCATGGGGATACGACATAGATAAATTTTCTAATCTTCGTCGTTTTTTTTATTTTCAGGTAACCGTCCACTCACGGCTCTTTCAAACGACCTCACAGCAACACGGCTTAAGGTAAGAGATTTTTTTTTCTCACATAGCTAATTTCATAAGGCTCTTATACGCAGGAGAAACTTATACGCAGGGGAAGAAGTGTCGAAGTAAACTAACATGAAACTTGGCTTTACGAGCAAACTGCTGGTCTCTTCGTATTACAGTCTTCTAGTACATAGCATGTCTCATAGTTATCTGCAACTTTTCTTTTCTATAGTATATATATATTCTTTCGAACAACTAATGAAAAAATGTGTTCCCTTTTAAACTATCGCACTACTTATTCTTCTTATTCTATTTTTCTTTTTTGTCTTTCCGTTCTAAACATTTTTTTTTTAGGAACAAATCTAGAAGGGACGTGAAACTTATGTTGTTTTCTTTTTTGGTTATACTAAAAAAAGCACGTTTAACAAAAATTAAATAATAATAATAATTGAAATCAAAAATTGTTGGAAAATATACATTATACAGTATTTAACGTATTTATCATATTCGAATTTTAGGAAAGAAAAAATTCACGATCAAAGCTATAATCTGTAAAATATTTTTTCTATTAAAAAAAAATAATAAAACCTCTTATATTCGACCTGTTGTGTTGTTCGCACAGGTATTTGTTCGTTTTTTTTTCTCTTTTTAATTCGAACGAATGAGCACACCGGCAAAATATATTACCCAGATAATCGTTCGATTCGCTAGAGAACGATTATTTCGATCGTTATTCGCATAAAATTCATATTCTCGGGGACACCTATGGGTAGTTTTGTAATACAATCGTATCGGATATGCCAACACCGAACAAGCTAATTTTACAAACGCGTATTACGTTTTTAATGTAGCGGAATTTTTCTACAATCATTTGAGATAGGAAAGAAAGATAAATAAAAGGGAAAGAGAAAGAGAAAGAGAAAAGGAAAAATCGCAATGAGGGAAAGGAAATTGCTCGAACAAATTGAAAAACGGTGCCTCCGCCATTAGGCCAAACGACCAAGCCGCGATTTTTACGAGCAGACAGAATTATACTTTCAAAGTGCCTTGCGAGCTTGCACCGGGCCCGTTCAAGGCTACAAATTCCTATTCTTTTCTATCGCGAAAGCTCGTGGAAAAAAAAAAAGTAAAAAAAGAAAAAAAAATACACAGATAACCTATCTTTTTCTTCTCAAGACAGACCACCAACACTCTTTAACTTTACTGATCTAATTGTCGTAAAACTTTTCTGTGGGTTTCGATTGGGATTTCGTCGACGCGTCGAATGCTTCGAGTTTGTAGGATTAAGTTCTCAATGAAATTTTTTTTCTTTTTTTTTTTCTTCCCCCTCTTCTTCTTCTTCTTCTCATATACTTTTTCAGATGTAGAAGTTTGCGCGCGTAAGCGTTTGATCCCATAGAAAAAAAAAGAAAACGAAACTGTTTTAGAGTTGGTCGAAAAATTTTGATTCGTTAACAACGTAGTCACGATTATATTTTATATATTTTAAGAAAATGGATTTATGTATGCTTTTTATCGGTGATTAGTAGAAATTGTTTGGTCTAATGATTTATGTTGTTTATGAAATATTAATTGTAATAAATACAATTTGTTATTTTCTATAAGAACGGATAAAACGTTTAATTATTAAGAAAAATAATGATCGAGGATTTTTCGAGATAATTTTCACAAAAGTTAAGAATACAATGATCCAATTTTAAATTTATTTTTTGTTTTCCAATTGATCTGGTTAACTATAAATATGAAGGATACAAACGTTTCGGCACGTGTCTCGGATAATTGTTTTTGGTATTTGGAAATTCGATGATCATTAAATGGATTCTAATGGATTACCATCGGATTCTATGCTTATCATTGTCATTATCAAAACTACAATCGATTGTTGTTATTATTGTTTCAATCGGAACTCTCTCATCGAACTTATCGATCGATTGTACGAAACCATATAACATGTTACCAATCATGATTCATAAATATGTACTTATACGGATGATTATCCTAACAACAATCTAATATCTATTATCAGTGTATCCAAGGAATGAAAAGTTTAAACTTTTAATCAGTTAAAGATATCGTATATTACGATATCCACAGTAATTTCATGCCCAACCCTTAGAGAATCGTAATTTGAAATTTATATTTTTCTTGGGATTAACATACGTTGGAAATTCAAAGCATTTGCTCATTCATACTAATCATCGTATTTAGTATTCCTCTCTCTCTCTCTCTCTCTCTCTTTCTGTGTGTATCAATCTTTTTCTCTATCCAGTAGAAAATGTTTTGTGCGTTTTGGATGTTACGTTGGTTAGGCCGTAAGGTTGGTAAATTTAAGCAGAGACTGAAGTAACTGTAGTTTCAACTTTAATAGAACTCGTCAGGTAGGTCCGACGAGTTTTCCACCATAGAAGAGAAATGAAGAGAAGATGATGATGGTAGTAGTAGTAGTAGTAGTAGTAGTAGTAGCAGTAGTAGTAATAAATACATCGGTGACGGTGATGGTGGTAGTGGTAGTAAAAGTGTTATACAGGGTGGCCCGACAACGGCCTATTTTCCGTATTTTCACTCTCGTCCTCGTCCAGCTCGTCGCTTTTGTTGCTCCCTTTTCATCGCCCCAGTCGTGGATTCAGGTCAGCTCCGGTCGTTGCTTTTACAGCAGCACCAGTACCAGCACCAGTACCAGCACCAGTACCAGTACCAGAATCAGCAAAGCAGCAGCAGTAGCGACGGCAAGGCAGTACTGACTCCTCCCTCTTCTCACCCTCTTTTTACTCCCCACCCACATACCCACTCACCGTCTCCTTCTTTACCAACTCGAACTCGAGTTCCAACATCGTAACCCTTCGTATCAACTATTCGTATACATAGAGTATCCTAGGCTTGGCTGGTCAGTTTGGTTAATGAAAATTACCGGAAACGTGCTACTTCGTATCGGTTAATTGTCATTGACGAGTTATCGATAAGTTATCGATCTTTCTTGTGATTTTTTTTTTACCTCGTCTAACATTTTACACTTTCATGTTTTAATATTTCTTTTTTTTTTTGGAAACTTCATTCAAGTCTCTTCATTTTATTCTATTTTTTTGTCTTTATTATTTATCGTGATTTATATTTTATAATATATAGGTTATCAATAGTTTATCGTCATTTTATTCGGATACTTTTACGTTAATATCTCTTTTGTTATATTTTTATACGCTTTTTTTTTTCTCTCTCTTTTTATTATTATTATGTTTTATTTATTTATTGCTTATTGTTCTGACTTATATTACATTTCTTTTAGATTTTATTATTATTTATTACATTTACATAATTTCTACTTTTCCTTTTTTTTTTTTATTAAAAACGTTAGACATTATTATTACGTTTTTTTAATAAATCTCTGTCTCTCTCTCTCTCTCTCTTTTCCTCTCTCTTATGTTATTATTTTATTATAACTTCGTATAATATTATTTCATTCAAATATATATCCGATTCATTATTCGCACACGTATTAATCGCCAGATTATACGAATTTTCCTATATAAACGTACAGAGAATTTCGTGAAACTGAATGAAAAGAGAAAAAGAGAGAGAGAGAGAGAGAGAGAGAGACAGAGATGAAAGGACGATTAAGAAATCGATTCGACGTTTAAAGTCCAAGAGATTTAAACCCGGTCAGCCATTTGACGATTTAAAAGATCGAGGACTTACTGGCTAGCCGTAAGAAAATCTCAAGCTTTTCCTGTGATTATAAACGCAACGAAGGTTTCAGAGCTTTCACGTTAAACCAAAAGAAATGACGAAAAAAGAGAAAGAGAAAGAGAGAGGGAAAAGAAACTAGTATAGTAAAAGCAAATGTGAAAAAAAAACCCAAAAAAAAAAAAGAAAAGAAGAAAACTCACGACGAGAAGGATACGAGTCGATATTTCCTCCTTTCCCCGTTCCCCACTATCCCCTTCACCATCCACCCCCTTCACCCCTCTTCTCTCTTTCTCTCTATATATATTTCGTTTTTTTTTTGTTTTTTTTTTTGAAGGGCAGAGAACCGAAACAGGAATATTTCGGAATCGGTGTGCGGATGTAACAACGGTTGGTGATTTTAGCGACATGCATCGAACGTTTCAAAGCGGAAACTAACGAGCCCCTCCTCTCTCTCGATGATCACTTCTCTTTTACAGTTTCATCGATCGCTTTTGGTTCTATATATTTTTTTTCTTTTTTTTCTTCCCTCTACATTATCTCTCGATCATCTACCATATACATGCATACATATCTTTGACAGGGTTCGTATAATAAAATGCTTACAACTCTCTGTGTATTTTTTGTTGTTGTTGATATTTTAATATCGATGAGTAGTACAAGAATATCCTATATAAATTTATTATACATTGATTTTTTTGTTTCTCTGGTAAATATTTTTTAAAGTAGCATCAATCGTAAGCTTTGGCAAATTGATTTATCGAGTTACGTTTGTGATTCGACGGATTTTCAAATAACATATTGCTAATTAAATTTATGAAAATTGTAAATAAATATGATTATTATATTTTTTAGTATTAATTTGCATTAGCTTTGATTAATATAATGATACGATGTAATATTTTAATGTAGGAAATAAATAGATATAGGATATTGATGTATGTTACTTGTTAGAGTGGAATAGGTTTTATGTAAAATAATAATCGTCATCTGTAAATCTAGTATTTTGTTTCATTTTTATATGTATGTTCGTTTTTATTCTTGTTAATATTATAGTTTTATAATATTTATGTTTATTGTTACAGAACGATATATTTAGTGATTAATTAACCAAGTAATTTACGTGCTGTTTGGCAATGTTTATAAGATGATTATTTTATATTTCGTTGTTAAGTTTGTTAAATAAAATATGGTAAACAAAGTAATATTATTAATCCTATTTTTTATTTCTTTCCTATTGTTTATTTAAATATGATCGATGACAAATAATAATATAATGAATCATAACGTAGATAATATTATTGTAAAACAAATAAATATTATTTACGTGACATACTACGCGATCGTAGAAAGTTACA